GGCTGAGCGCGCCAAAAAGCCGACAAGTGTTAATAATCATGAAATTCAATTTTAGGCCGAGGGAGCAAAAATCAAATAAGCTGAAGCGGAATTTAAACTCGAGCTAAGATTTTAATGCAACAGGATGTCACTTTATTTCATTTTGTCCAAAAGAAAGGTGTATGTTTAAATAAATAGATAAACTAATTGACTTAATCTATGTCTTCTCCTTTAACTCATTGCCCAAATTAAATATATATTTTTAACAAGTCTTACATCAACAGAATTTCACATAAGTTAACACACTCCAGCGTGATTTTTTTTACGACAACTATGTGTCTAATGAGATAAGCAAAGCAGATAATCATTTTAATAACTTAACTCAACTTTTCCATGCTAATTGTAGCATGTAGTTCTGTTCTGTTGGTACTTTAAATTATCAAATACCTGAAAAATGTTCAAGTACAGTAAATACATATATGTAATGGATATTTTTGTCAGCCTTGCGAAACTTTCTCTCGCAATGACTTAGAAACCTAACGCATTATCAGCTAATTAATTCATAATTAAACATAGCTCATGCTCTTATTATTGAGTCAAATATTTAATGAAGTCAATACGTAACTTAAAAGCATAACATTTGTATTACAACATTTCTAAAATCAAAACTCAAATTAGTAGATAGCAATCATCATAAATAGGCTGGCAATACTTTATGTGTTAAAAAATTTCACCCTCGCTAACAAGAAAAATCAAAACTATTTTGTTTTTTTCCCAACTACGTAGAAAAGAATGTGAACCTTTGCCATCTGAGTTATTGAATACGAAATGACAATCATTTAAATGACAACAGTTTTTAAGTTTTTATACTCTGTACATGAAATGTACAAGAGTATATTAGGTTTGCGGGAGCTGAAAATGTAACAGGCAGAAGGAGGCGTGGCAGACTCCACAAAGTATATATATTCTTGCCTAGCCCTGTCTGTCTGTCTGTCCGTCTGTTCGTCCGTATGAACACCTGGATCTCAGAGACTATAAGAGATAGAGACACCAAATTTTGCACAAAGATGCCTTATGTGTGTATTCTATACGAGTTTGTTTTATTTCATCATGATAGACCGATTTAACAAGAAGTTATAGCCATAAATATATTTGGTGCTCAAGCACTGCCCAAGCGCTGCCCGCGGCTGTTGTTGATGCTGGTGCTTTGGTTGACTGCGAACATGCTTACACAAACACGAACATACGAGCATACACATACATACACTAACATAGACACAATTGCTTTGTATATGTGCAATTATACACCCTTTACGTGAGTTCAAATACCAAAAGAGGTAAAATCGATCAAAAAAAATTTTTTTTAATTCTCTTACTTTTTTTAATTTCTATAATTATTGTAAGCATATGTACAGAGTATTTCAAAGTCGGGACACCGGACTTTAGCTTTTTTACTTGTTAGTTTTCCAGCATACGAATGGCGTGAAATGAAAACGGTGGTTGCCGCCAACGAGACAACAACAACGACCACCTACTGAAAAATGTTGCAAATGCATTTCCTTATTGCCGTTGGATGCTCTCGTTTAAATTGTCTGGGACGCTGCCTCTGGGGCTGAGGGCAAAGTGGAAATCAATGCTAATTAAACTCGGGCTGATATTTTCAGTTCATTTCTTTCGAAATTGTTGTCGACACTATTTTGTTGTTGCGGCGGCGACCCGCATTGGAATTGCGAGACGTGCTGGCAGTTGGAAATTATAAACGAAAGCGCCGCACATTTCAGTGTCAAATGTCAAGACGATGACGACACAACAACAACAACAGCAGCAACAACAACAAGTGTGTCAATTAGCAGACGTGTAAAGTGACGTCAAGCCTAAGCGCATGTGTTCGGCATTATTTAGGGGTATACTATATAGTGGATATTATGTTTGTACGTATGTTTATTGTGTGCTATCATATATAACATTTAATTGACACATGTGGAGCCTGTCAACAAACAAACAAACAACAAACAGACAACAAATAGCAGCGGCAGCCACCATTCAGTGCATGTTTCTGACACTTTGGCCGCTGCTGTCTGTCGACCTATCTACGTCTATACTTGTATATGTATCTAGTATGTGCATATATTTTAGGACTGCTACCGGCAAAACTTTCAAATATGCCTGTTTTAAGATATATAGCCCCGCTAATTGTTTGACGTGGAAAAACGAAATCGTGCGAATTTTGCTCGGCTCTTAAAAAGTTTTTCTTGTTTTCCATTGCAGTTCTCCTTCTTTTTTTGCATTTTTTGCTTTTCTACAAAAGTGATTTACTTGCTAAACGCTGTTGACATTTGTGTGCCACTTTGTGCTGTCTTGTCTATTGTTATTGTTGTTGTCGTTGCTGTTGTTTGTTGTTGTGTGGTTGTTGTATTGTTGTTGTCTTGTTCGGCTGTTTGTTAAACAAATCCATGCCGTTAATTGCCAGTAAAGTGTCAAAGTTGGGCAAACAAGACTTTCCTCATGGAAATTCTTGCCATTACGACATTAAAGAGCAGTCGCTCCATTAGCCCGCCTGTGTTGCTGTTGTTGTTGTTGTTGTCGTCGTGCGGCTATGCGGTTGTCTCTGTGCGCGTCCGCTTGTCTGGCCGCCACTTGTGCGCGCGCGCTCTGCCACTTAATAAATAGTTTGATGCATTATTTCTAGCATTCAATCAATATGGCAAGCATATTGGGGCGCGCACGCACATGCAACGCACGCCTGCTGCAATAAACATACACATACATACAGACAAATATTACATTTGTATGTATATAGTATATGTATGTAGGTATGTGTGCCTGTCTGCAAGCTGCCTTGTATGTTTTCTAGTGGCTTTTCCGCAAAATGCTTTTAATTCAATTTTATTTCCATTTAATTGCCACATTGCCTCGTCGCTGTGCTTTGCAGGGCTGTGCATATGGTGGCAGCCACACTACACTACATACACACGTATTATATAGACAACTCATACACATATGCACACTTATGTAGGTACATACATACATATATGTATGTACGCATATTGACTGCCTATCTCTGTCGATCAGTTCGACAGAACGACGAGCTAGCTGGCTGATTATTTAGACCCCTCGAATAATATTATACAATATTTTTGCATTAATATGAAACCACATACATACATCCATACATCCATACATTAATAGACATACTCGTATGAATGTATGTGCATGTCTGTTTGTAAGCAACTTATAATGGATTTCAGCTTCAAGTTGTTGTTCGCTATTTTCTATGAATTTCACATAAACAACGTAAATGGAATGGCGTGCATGCAGTTGGCTTGCAATTGCCTGCCAATTGAACTACTCTTGGTGTAATTTTCTTTAAATTGCTAAGAAAATTTATGACTCAGAGGGGGCCACTAATCAGCTCAAGTTTCCCCAAAATACGACTTCATTGTGCGCAACAGAGCGCCAAATTCGATTAAATACAGATAAATAAAAAATAAATATAAAGCTGCAGAACAAATAGGATTCATCCGTACGTCTGTTGCTCTTCTCTTATTGAATGATGGCAACGGCAGCCAATCAACTGACAAAAGCCAATAGGCAGTCAATAGAAAAATAAAACAGAAACTCAAGTGTGAGTTGATTTTTTGGTTTATCACGCAGGGGGGTGTGCGGAAGATGCGAGAAACTGCTTAGGCTGCGACGCATGATTGCGTGTGGCAAGTGGCAAGAGGCGTGATTAATCGAGGCGACAAGTCGTGGCCCACAGGGCGTATGTGTGTTACGCACCTTTGTAAGTAACTGCATTTGTCAATATATCAAAAAATGCCAAATACATATATACAGCAAGTATGATTAGTTATGATTCATTACGCTTTATTTGTAGACTCATATTTGAGTTGGCAAAAGCTACTGCAGACAAGAGATATGTAATTTATTAATGCATCAAAATGTAGAGTTCATGAGTAAGTTCATGAGCACATCGTGACTGTATCGTACGTCAAAACCAAGGTTACTTTAAAACTTCACAAGAGATTACATTCGTTCACATATCGACAATATAATCTGACTTATCTGGAATATGATCTGTTTTATTAAATGTTTTGAAAACTGACTCTGTATCTCATAAAAATAATTACACTATTTATTATGTTCTTTAACCGCAAATGAAAAATGAAAGTTCTTCTATAAACGCTGTATTGCTCATTAATACTTATCAAATAATATCTATTTATTTACTGATCCTAATGTGCATGTAAATAAGTAAACAAGAGAGAACGCTACAGTCGAGCAAGCCCGACAGTGTAATACCCTGTACCCAGGTAAACTTCCGTCACTGAGATATATGCGCCCATAGCAGCAGCAAAAAAAGGAAGAAGAAGAGCGAACTTGTTGCTGCAGTTTGGGGAGGTTGTACTGGCGAGAATTTGTTTCGCTAATAACTTTTCTTAGAATTGACCGAATTTAATAAAATTTTGAACAACAGTAGACAATTATATATAAATTATGTGTGTAAAGATTGATTTAGGTAGCATTTGAAATGTGGGCGCTATTATTTATTTAGATTTTAAATGAACCTACAATTTTTTTAATTCCTATTCTGTTTGACTTAAATTTAAATACGTTTTTGAGAAGAGCAAATCAATCCAGAGTTAACTTAATTATTTTATTAGTAAACTTCAAATGAAAACTTTAACATCACATAAGAACTGTAGTATTACGTTTCTCGTATTTCGTCAACATACTTTAACCCCGTAGTGTGAAGCGTGCTCAATTACCAACGCATTGACACTTGAATGCGTACACTTAAGAATTGAATGATCGATTGATTGTGGTATTGACTGATTGCGTGATTAACGTACATGCGACGCTTATGACACAAAGCTGTCTTAATTAAACTTAAGCTGACCTTCGTGCTAGGCCAATGTGGTCCGTGTGTGATAACCGGAGGAGCCATATTGCTAACTAAGCCAAGCGACAAATCGTAATCATAAATATAAAACGCAATCACATTTACTCGCATTTTACAGCCAAACACAACTCTCCATTGATTTTGCCAACAAAATCCCATCCCATTTGTTGTTTAGCGCAAGACGGCGCCATGGAGTTTCAAAAGTATTTGAGTTTATGGGCGCTTGCATTGGTCACAGTCCTGGCCTTTTATGGGAGCTACGTTGAGGCTTGTATGTGCATGCCCGCACATCCGCAGACACATTACTGCAATGCCGATTATGGTGAGTAGACGTATGTGTATGTTCTATAACTAGGACGAAACGAGGTTAAAAGGATGCGTCTGTTTCGCCATTGATATGGCTATGGAGCAGTCAGCCAGGCAGCTAGTCAGCCAGCACTGACTTCCATTATTTCACAAATTTAATAAGCTCTTCATTCCTTTACAGTTGTGCAGGTGCGCGTTCTGCGCAAGTCAGAAAAAATGGACCCGGGCAAAACTATTTACAAAGTGAATATTAAGCGCACCTATAAGGTAAGATGCGTTGCGCGGCTTCTATTTCCTAATAGAGCGTCATTTGCTTTAATGCATTCAACAGCAAGAAAGAGAACCAACGTATATAATATTGTAAAAGCGTTAACCGACATGAATAGAATAGGTTGAATAGGTTGAGTTCTAATGTTTTAATGTTTTCATTATAAATGGATATAGATATATATTTAATCTGCACCCCACATGGATCATTAAAAAAAACACAATTGGGTTTAAATTATTGGATTGAAATTAAGAAAGGTTTACTTTCGGGTCCATCTCAGAAACTCATTGGCGAATTTTATGAATTACTTTCAATGTTCAATTATCATTCTGTTGTTGTGTATTTATAAAAACAAGAACCCACTATATATATATATATATATATATATATAGTATGTACACATGATCAGCATATGCAGCCCTTTCGAGAAGTCCTTCTGTATGAAAGTATGTATTTCAAAAGAAATACATATAATTGAGAGTCACTCAGCTTAATGTGTTCTCCAAAGCATGGTATTGCAATGTAGTATAACTCATATTTAAAAGTTTAATTTTAAAGAGCATATTAAATCCCAAAGAGTTTAATAAGTCTTATAGGTCGATAATTATGAATCTTCTAACTGCATCTGTAAATATTAATTTATGCATTCTATCCTTCACTGATAAGGCAAAAGGTAAGGTGAAAAGTGTAGGAATGTATTGTATTCGGTGAGTAAGTATGTAACACTTAGAAGGAAGAATGATATATAGACTACATCTTCTAGTTGCATATGTGATCAGCATTTTCGTGATCTTCGTCTGTTCCCCCGTCAGTCGCTTCGACGCGTGTAAATAAGTATGCATGTAAATAAGTAAAAAAGTTTTGTGTAAAGCCCACAAATTTTACCCAAATCGATTTCGACATATTTTAAACAAGAGAGAACGCTACAGTCGAGCAAGCCCGACAGTGTAATACCCTGTACCCAGGTAAACTTCCGTCACTGAGTTATATGCGCCCATAGCAGCAGCAAAAAAAAGTTGCATATGTGATCAGCATTATCGTGATCTTCGTCTGTTCCCCCGTCAGTCGCTTCGACGCGTCGTGACGTGAGCGTAGTACGAAAACAGTAGGATATAGTATATGTAGTACGATATCCCTGGATATGCAGAACGAAAACAATAGGGTATATAACCCAGACCATAGTATACTACATAGCCAAGACAGTGAAGCGTATTTAAAAGAAAATATATATAAATTTTTAGCTCGTTGTAGTTTAAACTCAATAGTGGATAGACTCTTCAAATATGATCTTTATGAACGGAATTGAAACATGTCATCAAACTTCTAAATATTGTGATTTGCATTCATGGTCGCATACAGGACAGCAATATTAATGATTTTATTTCGTATATTTTTTCCGTAGGCCACACCAGAGGCTCGCAAAATGCTGCGCGACGGCCGCCTGGCCACACCCAACATGGACTCGTCCTGTGGCGTCAAGCTGCAACTCGGCAAAGTTTATATCATAGCTGGTCGCATGCCGCAATTGAATTTGTGCAGCTACTTCAAGGAATACGCCAAGATGACTATCACTGAACGTCACGGCTTTAATGGCGGCTACAAGAAGACCTGCAGTTGCAACGTACGTTGAATGACATTTGTATAATTTCTTCATTCTCTCTCATTGAATGGACATTCCAGGTGTGGCCCTGCTTTGGGAAAAGTTGTTTGGATGAACGCGAGGCAGACGATGGTTGCAAGTGGTCGCCTCACGGCAACTGCGAACGTGACTTTAGCGCCTGCATGCCTCACATTCGTCAAACGCCCAGTGGCAACATCACCCGCTGTCGTTGGCGACGCACGCGCCTTTACAAACAGTGCTTGAATTATCCTTAGGGCGAGCAGCCGACTTGCCCTTTGTTACGCTAACGCTTTTTTCTTAAACCTTCAATTTTTGTGTAGAGCTTTAATTCATACGTTATGCTTAAAATGTTATTTATATGCTGACTCGAATTTCTTGCTAGTTTTGAGTTGCGACTTAATTAGTGTCTAGCTTTTAGTGTCTAATACACTTACCAAATCGCGTGGATTCGGGAAGAATGTTTGTTCAATTAGCGGAAAGCCATCTCGTCCCAGCCGACGCTGCAGCTGCAGCAAATGCGAAAAGACCCAGGGCTTATCCTGTCATTAAGAAAGAAAGGAGATGTCCGAGTCATTAGCAACAATCAAATACGAATAGTGCTGGTGGCCATATAGCTTACCTGAAATTGATATATGGAGTGCAGCGAGTTAATGCTGGGCACACCGCCATATTTGAGTCCCAGTATGGTCGAACGATAGTCGCTGGAGCCATCACGCGGTGGTTGGCGTATTAAAACAAAATCCGGGCGGAAGGAACGCGCAACCTGTTTTGGTGTGATATTCCAAAAAGTAAAATTAGAATAAACACAGAACACAGTTTTTTTGTATGTTTTAGTGGACACCTAACAATATAAGTTGATTATAAAATAAAAAGTTTCCTAAAAGCTGCTCAAAATCTTAAAGTGATTTGCCTTGCTTGAGTTGGCTTTATGTCCAATATAGCAATAAAAACTCAATATTTTTAAGCAACAAGGGAAAAAACCATTTGCATTTCAAGATTACTTCCTAGCCATTTAAAAGAGATTTATAAATTACACTAATTGATGAGCATGTCATTTTTATATAATTATAGTAGTCTTTGTAAAAATAACTGAGTGGTGACAATGTTCAATATTTAAGATATTGTATAGAAACCAATCTAGTAGCTAAATATTAGATGTCTTAGTAGAGCGTTCTGGGAATTGTATTTCAAAATAATCTATAATATATCAAGAGTTGATTAGTGCATGGTAATCACTATTATAAGTCAGATTGAGAAGTCAATAGAGACGACAATAATGGTTTGCCAAATGATTGAAAGGAGAGTTATTTGAGGGAAACGAAGCGTTATTTGAAGCCATCTAAAAGGATTATACTAATATCCAGAAGATCATTCTGGCGAACGAGCTAAAACACTTCTTCGACAAAATTGTTATGTGGAGTCCAAAAGGAAAATATTGTGAATATTTTTTGTTTTTCTTAATTTTCACTTTGGAGCGCACCTTTAGCCACGTATTATAAAATTCTCACAAATAAATGGAAAAGGCCGGTAAGGAGTCCTTGTAATTGAATCTACACCCTATACCTCATTAATTATGAACTTGTTTGAATTATTACCACATAATTTTAGGCGGCACATTAAAACGATCAAATTCACTTTTAATGCAGCATATTAATGAGCTGTGGGGTAAAATGGGATCGCGTTGTACAAAATGCGTAATTAACGAATTTCGTTTTGTGCCCGAAAGTCAATTACAAACTGCTCCCAGTGTTTTGAGGTGGCTAATACTTAATTAATAATGTAAGCTGAAATCAATATCTCATAGAATATAATATCTTTGACTTTATTTCTCATTTCATTGCGCAGCCTAAAACTGCAATTATTTTCTGTACCTACAAGTACGTATTCAATAGACGCCCACTCGCCTATAATTGTGTAGTTGGCGTTCATTTCCGATGACATCTCTTCAGTTTCCCCCCAAGGTTCAGGCACTTCAATAAGAAGTGTTTTTACTGCCTCTGCTCTATCGTGGCCCGTCCGAGTGCAACAGCAACGTCATTAAATCAACAAAGCCACTCAAAATAAACAGACTACGCACGAGCACAGAACTAAGTCAACACAATAACAAAATAGCAAATGATGAAACACTTGAGTGTCCTTTGGGCATGCATTAAATTCGCTTTCATGCCCAGACCTTCTCTGGCAGGAAGACGCCAGCACAGACAACGACAAAGCACATAAGCCACTCAAATGGAAATGCGAATGCGATTGCGATTACGAATGCTGTTGAGAGTGGCAAAGTAATAAAAACACAAACACAAGTCGAGCAGACACGCATCGCTCTAATTAAGAGCGCATTTACACAGAACTTACCCGAGTGCCGCTGCGATAGGCGGCCATGGTGACCACCGGTCCGGTATCCGCACTGGAGACAACTGTAATGTCCTGCGGAAGCAGAGCAAAAATACCAAATGATAAGTGACAGTCGCCTGCTGCGTGGGCTGCTATTTAATTTGAAAAATTCTTACTCGGAACTCCGCCTGTTCCACGCGTATATCGAAATCGCCATGCAAACGCCGGCCACGGAAATACTTGGACCAGTCGGTATTTTGATCATCGAGCACCAGCAACGTAAAGTATTTGTCCTTGTTGAAGGCTGGGGCACGTTGTGTGGCACTCTGAACCGCCGCACCTGTAGTGCCAAAAAGGTTTGACGAGGGTCAGAGCAGAAACATATTTGACATTAGTAAACAATGTCTAAATGGTTCAACAAACGCCCCTTATATACTTGACAATTTTTATTATTCGCAAGAAAAAGGTACGCGACCTTAAATAAAGTTCTGTTGACATTTGTCATTTGCTTTTAAATATTATATACTATGGGACATTTATCCTAACCCTTTGGGTCAAAGTGTCAATTCACTGAAGAAGCTATCAGCCCGCATTTCTGCTCACCGACTCAACAATCGAACAACTAAAGCTTGGCAACTAAATTTAGGACAGCTACTACTCGGATTATTAGGAGATGAAAGTCATTTCATCGAACTTATTTAATTTGTTTTTTTGTACTAGAATTTTTACTTTCGAGCCAATTAAATATGTATACAATGATGAGTTTACTGTTTGCGTGTTCCTTAAATTTTTCTACTACGCAATAGCTACTAATAACAATTTGATAAGTTGTATTATATTATCTTAAAGAAGAAGAGCATCAGGCTTAACTTTTAAGTAGGATATAACTAAAGATTAAGAAACTGGCCTTACGCGCTCTTATTGTTTTCTTAATCGATCCAAATATTAATTTCGTCAAGGCCCATTTTAATCATGTTTATAATTATGAAATGAAAGTGATGATAAGACGTAAATTGAATATGTAAAATAAGCCCAAATTGTGTTCAAATTTTTTCGGACCGAGCCTAATTATTTTAAATTTGGAAAATTACCAGCTTATTGGTATTTGTTGGCAATTGTAAAACATTCAAACATTTCTCAGCTAGGTATTTAAATGTTGAAAAATTCGACTTCTGATATGCATTTTCATAATTGACAGATTTAGATTTGCCTTAAATGTGGTCCTTCCATATAAAAAGGTCTCTAAATGTGGTCTCTATTACCCTCAAAAACCGTTTCGAATGTTGGACTAATATTGGCTTAAAGTTCTTGATATTGTATTGATATAAACGTACATATAAGATATTAATATTTATGGTATCGATAAGAAAAAGTGTTGGAAATGGCTGGCAAATGTAATGGATTTAATGACAGCCTCAATTTAAAACGATTTCCCAGATGCGTATAATTGTCTATAAATATTTCCGGCTATCCACAATGTGTAATACATAAGGCATACCTAGTATGGAAGCGCCCTGATCTCGCGCTGCGCCCGTCAAACTCTGCACGCGCTGTAAGAGACTCTCGCGCGACTTGGCCGGACTGGTCGGGGCGCTAACGCCACGAGGTGGCGCTGCTGCAACACCTGACTTGCCAGCGCCAAAGGTTAGCGACAATTCCGGCGCGGCACCGGTGGGCTGTGGTGGTACTTGGCCCGGTGCCGGTGGGGGCGGCATGCTCGGCGGACCACCGCTGACATGCGGCTTAGTTGGTTGGTCCTGTATGGGACGTGCCGCAGGTGGCAAATCATTGGGATCGACATCGTCGACCTCGGAAGACAAGTCTCCCGAGCTGAATCTGCACAGGTGGTGGGTGGTTGTTGGTTGATTGCGGTTAAGTGGAGGTGGTGTGTGTATGTGTATGTGTGTGAGTATGTGAGGTCGGTATGTTATTGTTGTTGTAGGTTCGAGTCATTTTAAAACCGTGTAGATGAGTAAATACGTGCAGTTGAGTGCCGTTGAGAGAGCAATAGTTAGATAGAGACAAAGAGAGAGAGAGAGAGAGAGCACACAATTTGGGAGAAAAAATAGACAAACATATGAAATTTTAAATTAGCTTCGTTCGTTCGTTTGTTCACCCCCCCCTTATGGGGGGTGGGTTCGCTCGTTTTAAGGTCTTTACCTTCTCTTCAGGAAATTAACATTGGAAGTAAAGCTTGATTTGAACGATGAGAAATTCAGGGTGCTGCTTTTTGGTTCCTGGGCGGCACATAAAGAAGTACAAATGAAAAGTACATATTCACCTATTAATTAAGTGCTTAAAATTTTGGCATTCTTATTACAAATTCATGTGCATTTACATTGAGGCATATATATGTATATTTACATAACTATAAACGTTTAAAGCTCTTAAATTGCTTCAGAAATAAAAGAAAAGGCATTGGAAATTTGTCTGCTTTTTAAATAACTTTGTGGCCCGCTTTTGTGGGCCCAAGAGGCGTATTCGCGATTTATTATGCTAACTTTGTTTGCAGGGAAAACTTTGCAAGCAAACTTTTTATTTCAGTGATGAAATTAGGCGACTGCTGAGCGTATACGTAATATAGGTAGTTAGAATAGAACTTTTTAATTTGATTGCATTTGAGAAAGTGAAAGAGAGAAGTCGGACAGCAATGCATACATTAGTAGAATGAAGATGTCTATGCAGTTCCAGGTGGCGTATGCGTAATGTACATAAACGCCTGTGGACTACATGTCGCATACTTGATATGCTGCACACTTCAAATGAAAATTTGCGCATTGAAAGATGGTAAAAATCGTAAAAGACTAAGCAAGCAATGGCGAAAAATTGCTGGCCTGGCTGGTTGTGAAAAAACCATTTCAAAATTTCATATGTCAGCTTGTTGAGAGAACGATTAGTATAAATATTTAACAAATATTTTCCTGTCACTTACGAAATGCTGAATTAATGAAGAATTATTACAGAGCATGAAATTGCAAAAACGTTGCTATTAAAACTTTGCATAAAGTTTTTCTGCTTTATATATATATAATTGATGTTACACAAAATAAGTTTGGAAGGGGGTGAGCAGATGTAAGAAGAACATTTAATGGACAGCACAGCGCCGAGAAAGAAAGATAGACAGACAGATAGAGAAGGAGAAAGAGTTGCGTACAATTTTACAATTTATAATTAAAAACTAGAGCGGCAAAGTCAATTAAAAACGAAATGCATAACAACGAAAGATAACGTAAAAACTTACAACATCGAACGGAATATCAACTAGTTTGCAATAATTGCTTGGATTGGCAACAGGTGATATGCTGCTTTGACTACTCTGGCCATCATTATAGGTCGCAGGGGCATCCACAATGTGGTCCTCCTCATCACCGACACCGTCAGCTTCGTCGTTGCAGTTTCTGTTGCTTTTGTTATTGCAGTTATCATTGTCATGAGCTGACATGCGGTGCGCACTCAAGGACACTTAAGGACAGCCAATGCTTGAATAACAAAATGCAAACAACAAAGCAGGAAAAGCTTTTATAGACCCATGGCTCTGTGGATTTTGTGCCTTTTGTGCTTGTGAAAAGAGGCACATAAATATGAAAATCAATTTTAAATGCTGCTAGCTAACATCTACGGATGTTTTCTCGATAGCCAGGGGACAGCCGGGTAGGAGGGAGCCTGCTGTCAACAATGTCAAACACTTGTAGCTAAAGCGCGCTGGTTTTGGTCTACATGTTGTGCCTCAAAGGCAACACGACGCCAACTTGTAACTTTTTGTGAGTGACAAACAAAGAAGCAGGCAACCATACCGATACATACATATATATGTTTGTAGCTGGGGGGGTATTTAATTTTATATGCAAGGTGCGCTGGGACTTTGCACCGTTGGCAAGCTGTTCAGAATTTATGACATTTTTGCGCGACTTGTGCAAACTTTAAGCCCAAATTAAAGCACAAAACGATAAAAACAAATGTAAGCGAAAGCAATCTTAGCTACAGGTGTATAAAAGCCAAAGCAGGGCATGTGTGTGTAGGTGGGTGTGTGTTTTGTAGATGTATTTGATGAAGCATTGAAGCGCGTGATTGGCATATAGATACTGCTACGAGTAGTTTCATAAACATAGATTAGGGTGAGATTGTGCTGCAAATGCAAGTGACAGGAGAGCATGAGTGCCAGCTGAAGCTTGGCACAGTCTTACCGGTGGCGGGGCGCAGATTCGCCCACACCCAGCAGTTGCGATGGCGCTAATATTGACAGTGAGAGACGATGATACCGAACAGTTGGCTGCTGTTCAGACGTTCACTTTCTTCGTCCAGTTGAATAGCAATGCGTTGGTAGCTGGTGTCGTGGATGCTGTAAGCAGAGAAAAAACCATATCGGGTGATAAATGATATAATATGATTAAGTTTGGCAAGCAACTATAGTGCAGCGCATTGCAACTGACATTGATGTTATAAATTAATTCCCTGTTCTAGTAGCACGCGAAAATAAAGTTTAATTGCTTTCAAACTTTTTATATTACAATAAGCTATTATGTATATAAAAAGCTATTATAATATTCAGACATACATATATACTGCAATGAAGCTTACTATATGCTAGCTCTTGTCCCCAAACTTGGAACATGTATCTCCCAAGTCTTGTCTAAAGACAAGATTGTTTGTTATTTCGAAGCTCTATAATTCCACTCCTAATTAATGTTTGCACAATTAACGTTTAAAAGGTAATTAATTTTTTAAGAACAATTGTCGTTGTAATTTTTGTCTCTTTTATGCCCTAACTCTGTATTTTTACCAACCACCTACAAAAATATATCCATCTTTCCTGCTCTTCTAACTTGTTAATAAGGGCGAAGGTCTCTACGCTCTTTGAAAATGTGTTTACAATCTACAGAAAGTTTTTAAGAATTAAAAACGCTTTTTATTATACCGTTTTTATTTTACATGCTCTTTGAAATTGTTAATAAGAGGTTTATACAATTCCAGCGTCCCCTCCTCATTATTACTGCACAGTATTTAAGTGAAGGTCTCTACGCTCTTTGAAAATGTGTTTACAATCTACAGAAAGTTTTTAAGTATTAAAAACGCTTTTTACTTACGGGAGAAAGTAGAGCAGTTAACAGAGTTCTTAACCTTTTTTTTTTAATAAAGATACAGTCTGCATCTAATAATTTGTACACATTTTTTATCTAATAGAGCCCATATATTTTTCCAGTTACAAAAATGTTTGCCTAGCTTCAAGAGATCTAATAGTATTTTTCAGATAAATCCACTTTATTATTTAGATGAAAAAATTGTACACATTGAGTAAGTCATTTTTTCAAGAGTATTTTCAATTTTCTGCTCAAAATATAAACTCAAATTGTTGTTGTGTTTGGCAGACAAGTTGAACGTTGCGATAAGCAAACGACTGTCGACTGTCAGGCAAGAGAACAAAGACAGCAGCTGACTGACTATCAGTCTGTCTACTCCTCTGCCTCAGCTGCCCCCCTGCCTGCCATCGTATGGAGAGTGCAAAAAACAAAGCGAAAACAGGACCCAACTCAAAGATTGTTTTTGGTTCATTGCACTTGCTAGCCTCAAACTAGGGCAAAGCATACAAACACATACCACAACATGAAGTGCGGAGCCAGAGAACGACAGTTTCTTTATTGCCATTGTGGCTTCATAACTGACTAGATGTTGCCTTAGCACGTGTTATGCAACATTTGTTATTATAATTTTAGACGGCAGCAGAGAAATTAATTCAGCAAACAAATCAACTACCAAATGCTGCACACAATTGGCTACCGAAATACATTAGCATATATGTAAATAAGCGAGTGAACGACACATATACTACACACACACACATACACACTGTTCGCAGTGTTAGACACGCATGTAGAACAAGTTGTTAGTTGAACGAAAATTGCGTTAATTTGTCCCAAGGCGGTCACCCCGCCACCCAGCCAAGTGGGTGGCAACAAAAATACTGCGATTTGCGCGCGAGCTAACAAATCTAAAATATTTATAAAATAAATAATGAGCCGAGTTTCAGATGTAGGCTGGCAATAGCCGGAACGCGTTATAGCGTTGGCAAATGCTCCAAAATTTTCATAGCATACTTTTCTGCACATCATGGCGGTCACACAAACACAAATTACGTGTGCGTGCGTGAAATTTTAAGAGAGCCTTGGGCAACGTCGCCTGCTAGCGTATGTGTGCGTTTAAGCGCTCTTGGCCTTGCATAGACTGCTGATGATATGCGCATATGTAAAATGGATCTCTGAAGAGCGCGTTAAAAATTCAAATTTTTCTTTGAGACAACACGAAAAATGTACAACTTGCATCCGCCATATCGAATATTTTATACACATAACTGTGTGCATGCATGATTTGATTTTATGAAATTATCGGTAGAGAGCCAAAGGCTTGGCTGATTTCCAAATACGTGTGGAATCCCAATTGTTACGACATTTGCATATAAATTCAAATTTATGCCTTTTGCGTGTGGTGCATTATCGAATACTGTACAGACATATAGTTTAATGTAATTTTTGTTCAAATTAAGGGTTGACAGAGAATAACATTATGATACCACTCATGATCAAATATCAAAGATCAATCCCTCATTACTTTTGTATAGTTTTGCGCCAAGAATTTTAATAAAAGTACAACAATATTTAGTAATGTACATTTGAACATATTTTATCATGTTACATATTTGCAAATGATGACTTACACAAGTGTGCTTTATTTCTTTCCAGTTTCTGTGTTAATTAAGCATTTGAAAAAGTTGTTCTGAGTTTGAATATGAATATTCATGAGCCACATTCATTAAAATGTATGTGGAACTTTAAATGAAGATGAATTAACAGGCACATCAATCTAATATCGTGTGAACCGTAACTCATGTGATAATTAGGCATGTGATATAAGCATTTTCATTCCATATAAAACGTTATGTAATGGCTAAAGTGTATGGCTTAAATGATTTACTTTTCACTCTCCGCCAGCTTGTTGTGATGGCGCCAGAGCAAAAAAGAATATTAAATTCTCATATGTAATATACATAAGTATGTGCAGCAATAAATGTAAGTCGCCACAGCGTCTGGCTCACGAACTTTGTGTTTTGTGCCACTTTTGCGTGGGTGCTGGGCACATCATTTGTGCCACATGCCACCTCTTCGCCAACAATTTGCTAAGCACAAACGCCACGTGGGTGGTGGTCTCCCCGAAGCTGCACTTGCAGCCGTTACCATCACCACCAACACCACAATAACCACCACATCTAAATCTCGCATGTGGTGGAATTCTCGCTTATGGTAACGCTACTAGCGCTTGACATTTGGCATTTCACTTGAAATGTCAAAGTTGCCTGCAACATTGCCGAAATTGTGTGTAAGCTTCTCCTGTTTGGGGCAGAATAAATGAAAAGTCTCTCTGATAGACATCATTTGCTCGTTTTTCTGTCAGCTCGTCTCGTCTTGTTTCTTCTTTTATTGTCTTTGTGCATGCCATTAGCGACACGATTTAATAGTCGCACGTCATTTCACTATCTTCATGACTACACTGATCGAAAATTGGCGTTTCAGGACTGCCGCCCTTTACTTGATATCTTTCTATTTTAATAGTTTTCCCCTTCCATCTTTAGTATTGATTATGTGTTTGACTATTTTACTTTTGAAAAGCTTTTTTTTCTAGTTCTTTAAACTATACTCGTTTTCATAAATTAGTCTATTACTTAGCGCCTATGTTTGGACAACAGGTTAAAAATTGTTCCGAACATGTTAGCTCCACTTCAATCTCAAGATAATTCTTGTTTGTTGCATTTGCTTAAATCCAGGTTCAGTGGATTTAGTTTAGAATTAGATAAGTCGAACAACGCCATAAATATCCCATATCTTTGGAAAAATCCTTTTTATTGAGCGATTGAGATTATTCCTTCCAGAGTAGTGACAAGTTATATAAATTTTATGTTTTATTTCTATACTAGCCGTAATAATACTTTTTCTTCATAAAGTCGGTAGATACAGCTCCATCTAAGACCTTTCTGTCTCCTTATATTTATACCTATTAATTATTTTATCGTTACATACTCTTCGAGGCAATAATCGGATATAAATAAAGTCGCTATTTAAACAAAGTGTTAAATTAAAAGGCATGTGTGGCATTCAAGAGTAGACTCCTTCTATCCTTTACTTCAACCAACTAATTTTCTCTCAGTGCACAATTTGGCTGAGTAATATGTTCTCAGAAGTATCAGCATCTCCTTGGCAGCATATGATGATGTATCTTTTGATTACTTTAGTTAATGCCAACACCAAAAGACAGACAGGCAGACAGACAAACAAAAGACTAATGCTGTTAGTCAAAAAGGTGGCCAGCACTATTCACACATTAGTATTTTTGGGCTTGTTAGTAGCTGGCAAATTAAGCCGGATGGGCCACATTTCGAGTAGGCCCTTTTTTGCTTTTCGGAGAGCAAAGTTCGCGCATTACGACCATACATACCCACTCGTCCGCACACCCGCACAACCACATATTCATAAAAGGCCTGAGTCCGTGTGAAAAGTTTTTGAATTAATAATCAAGCTAACTTGTTTGCTTTGCTCTGGTTTATCTGTTGGTTGGCCGCTGCAGTCTTCTGTCTGTCCTTTTTCCATTTTGCGTTGGCCAGCCGAAATCGGTGCCGCAAACTCTATGATATATATATATATCCAGTAGGTGAAAGGTTATGAAGTTCAAATGCTTCCACAGCCTGTGCAGCTTAAGTTCTGCTTGCATTATAATCCATCAAAGTCAGTTGGAAATTGCATTCCAGGCTAACTTCATGCTATGCTAAAGTTTTTCAAGCTTAAATTGTAAAATGTTCACACAATTCCGCACAGATTTCTGTGTGGCTTGCTTTATATGACACGTTTGACTTAAGTAGTGCTGTGCCACATAAGTTCTTGTTGGGGGAGCCTCGCCATTGTTTTGCCGCATCATAAACGCCAAGGAGAGGCGGCCAAAACACCTGCAGCTATAACCCATTTTCATGCGGCATTTCCTTTCAAGAAGACGCTTTTGTTGCCGTTTTGCTGTCGCTGTTTGCACTACACTACAATTAATGGGGCATGTGTGGTTTAGCCAGACAGCTTGTAAGCCTGACACACTAACACAAAATTGTTGCTAATGTCTTATTGATGTTAATTGCAAATACCAACTATTGCATGCGCTCAAGCGTTAGTTGCAGTGTCAGGCGTTAATGCCTGACAAACTGGCACGTTGACAGGCAACTGTAGGACCAGCAACAGCAACAGCAACAACAACAACAACAACAACACGCAGGGGAACACGCACGACTTAGTACGATGGACACAATAAAATGACATAAATGTGACACCAAGGCGGAATGCACACGCCTCTAAATGGATGTATGTGTATACACGCAAAGAAAAGAAGATACTGCTAATACAGAAAATTTGTCTGTCATAAATACCAAGAATTTTTCAAATCATAACTTTACCAGAAAGTTAAAAGTTTGTCCTGGAATTTGTTGTGAATGTCTTGTCTGCGTGAGACCTTTAAAATGTACAGTCGCATGGCATAACTTTGGGGAAAAAACAAGGCTAACATCCGGAATACAATTTTTATTTTGTCGGAAATACTCGTATATTTTTTAAGCATTTTAGCTATGCACAATCTGTGTGATACAAGTTTCTCAGGCTAAGTAAATAAGTAAGCTGCTTAAATTCAGAGGTCACTGAGCAACCGACTTATAGCAATTATATAAACATATTTTTTACATAACTTTGTGGACAGGAACTTAACAGAAGGACTTAGTAAATGGGTCACTCAATTATAATTGAGTTAAACTATTTTTTGCCTGTTTCCCGAGACATATATTTATTAAAATGCATTCCATGTACCACTTTAATTAACTTTTAAGATTTTGTCTATATTGTAAGCATTAATTTCTATCTTCATGTTTTCTTTCCCTTTTCAGTTGGTTCTATGGCGCACATGTAATTATTTTGCCCACACTAAATTTTTTGTCAATGTCACTCATATACTCGTACTTATTTTCATTAACAGAGCCACGTACTGGTGTTCGTTTCATTAAACATATACAAGGACATGGCTATCAGAAATAAATAAACTGATTGGATTAATATTGTTAGTGTTTTTTGCATTGCAGCAAAGTAAATTTCTATTATTGACTGTATATATATTTCATTTAAATTTGAAACAAAAGTCTTCGCCGATTCAGTGGATGGCGTCGCATAAATGTTGTATACTTGCGTCGTCACAATGATATTAAATTATATCACTAGTTTGGAGTAAAAAACCTTTAATGGTATCACTTCATTATGAAAAGTAGGATTTGCTTGGAATGTTGTCGTTAATTCGTAAAAAAATGTGTGTAATTAGACGCAAGCTAGAAGATTCTCATTTCAGTTAAATGAATTCCACACTCGCAGAAGCCGGGATATTAAAATGAATATCAATCAGACCGTTGGCTGGAATGCAATTTTTCTCGTAGTGCATGTCACGAAACTAACTGTTTGACGTGTCCTGGGTTCAAAGACATTTGCACGACAACAAACAACGATAACAACAACGCTACTTTGCCGCTCTAGTTACGCAAAGCGTCGTCATTAAAACACATAAATTTTCAGCAAATTGTCAGTGCAACTTGCCTACAACTCAACCACACTCACACACACACATGCAACACATCACGTGCATTGTGCGTGAGTATGAGTGTGAGCGAGTATTTTGATGGAATGCAGGCAACGCCATCATCAGCCAAAGTGGTTGGGTGATGGAATCATTTATCATAGCATACTTCTAGGATTGCAGTGGATGATTTATGTTAGACGCCTGATTTCTTAGAAATTAATTAGTTTGCAAGAGATAATGAAAAATTGCAACAACAACCAAAAAACAACTGCATCACTCACCCTGCTTGGCTTTTGAAACGGGTTCCTTGTGGGTTTGTGGGTTAGCAGGTTGCAGACGTCTTCACTTCCTCTGGTCTTAATGCGTTAATCACCAGCTAAGTCGTACAGACAGACACACACACATACACGTACACACTCACCCAAATACTCTGATAGAGAAGCGTGCGCGCTTTTTGTTTTAATTCAATAAAATGTTGAATACCACGGCTTTGTTGTTGCTGCGCTTATCAAACGCACGCACACACATACATAAGCAGAGACGAAAAGAGAAAGAGAACGACAAACACACACGTACGCACAGTCGGTAACAACAAAAGCTGCCTACTGAACTGAACTGAACACAACTGCCTGTGAATGACTGACTGATACAGAATTTTTGCCGTGTTTCGATTTTTTGGCAGTTCGAATCGCCTTTGGTTTGAGTTGAGTTATATACTTCTTTGCTTCTCTTCTTATTGTTGCAGCACTTTTTCTCGTTACCTAAATTTAAGTAACTTTTACATTAATTTTTTCTTTCAGCGAATGACTAATTTGCAATTAAAAAGCGATTCAAAAATTATGTGATTTGACTGATCGAAATTGAACGCAAAAATTGCTATATATATATAATTTTTCTTTTTTTTTTTTGCTTAATTTGGTTGTTGAACTTAGGGGCGCACAAAAAATTGCTGAACTATCAACGACGGTGATGAAATTTTCACTGAGCGCGTTGTCGACTTGTTATATATGAATTTCCCACCAAACTGTAAGTGCAAAGGCATGCAGGCGTGGGTGGGGGTTGTCCGGAGAGAGCGACCAAACAAGACCAAGAGAGAGGAAGAGAGCGCGTTAAAGCGTAAGCTGATTTGATAAGAAAACTATATATTAGGAATTAAGTGCGAAGTAGAAGTTATGCACAAGAAACTAAGTTTTATTTAGAATACGAGTTTTTTAGGTTACTAAATATGCGGATTATTTGCATTATCTGCTAAAAATCATTTAAATTTAGCCGTTAATTGGCAGACGACTTGCAACACTGAAGCTCTTCCTCTCTGCAACCCCCAAAAGAGCTTTGCGCAGGCGTCTTGTAGTACGCTGCGGGCGTATCGATTCATTGAAGTTTCGTTACGCGTGCCACCCAAACCAACAGCCAAACAGTCCTACACACTCATGTGTGTGCACACCACCCCCACACTTACAACTCGACGCATGCACGAGGCTTTATTTTTATCACTGAGCGGAACGAATTGCCTTTGGTTTGATAAACAAAACGGTGTGCGTGGACCTCACGCCAATTACTCGTACATCGGCGCTCAACGCGAGTTTGAAAATCGTTTTCCAGCAATGTGGCAACGCCACAAAAGTGGCAAAGGCAACGAAAGTACGGGCCAAAACATACGAACGAGCTGCACAAAAAGTGTGAGTTGATAAAATGAGTGTGTGTGCGTGTATGAGTGTGTTTGTGTGTAAACATAAAACAAAAAACAACAAAGAGCTTAAGCCAAAGAGTCGGGCAGAGACAAACAGAGCCAGCAACAAACAACAATGCCAAACTGGCAACAGCCGAGTGAGCAACCAAACTTGGCTTAGAGCATCATCATAATCATCGTCGGCCGTCACACGCTGCCTGCTTTCAGTTCCAACGCAGCGCTCGAATCGTAAAGTTGTAACCGAACGTGTGGAGCGGAAAGTTGTGTTTCCCATTTTTCACTCGCTCGAAGTTTTACGCGTAAAAAAGAAAATTTAGTTTTGTGGAGTTGTGTGCACGTGCAGGTAGCGGCAGATACTTAGCATACTTGTACATCAAAACAAATACATTTGCATAAATAAATAAATTGTTTAAGTTCTGTTTTGAGTTTGTTTTAAAGCAACGCACAAACAACAGACAACAACTTGTTGCATAAAACTTGTTTTCACGTGCAGCCAAAAACGCTCACTAAAATTTATTTGAGCTGAGCTTAAAACGCAAAAATTAAGAGCAACCTCTTACTTACAATATACAATAACAATTTCAAATTAAACAAATGTAATTATATAGCAAATTTCATGTAGTTTTTTTGCTTTAATACTTTATTTTTTAAATAAATAAAAACCATTGAACAAACTTAGAAATGGAATGTGTGCGCAAAAATTGTGCAAAACTCTTTAATGCACACACATTTGTGCTCTTAGTTCGCAGTTTCAGTTTTCAGTTTTATTTACTCTCTTAGTTAGGCTCTCAAATGTAGTTAGAAACGATTGAGTGTTTTAAATTTAGAACTGTATTGCATGTTTCTTTTTCATCCCACATTGCATAAATAATGAACAAATATTTTAATTTTATGGCATTAGAAGTTGCTTTTTGTGTGGCCCTGTTGATGTGTTTATCATGTTGCGAGAGTATGTGTGTGGGTGTGCTTTTATTTCCGCTTTGTATTGTTGTTAGACTATAGTTAACATAACTTTTAACGCTGAAATAAACAACTAAGTCAAGCTTTTCTAACATCAATAAATAAAAATGATTCAATTCTATGAAAATTATACACTACCTTCTCTTTGGCTCAGCAGCCCAACAATGTCAACAGACATCTGTTTTTTTTGCCACTGGGCTTTATTTTTATCACATTGCGAGCATATGACGTAAGCCAGTGACGAACCGAACGCTATATTTCTGCTTTTTGCACTTTTTTCAAATCAATAATACAAAATATTTCTATACATGCGGCAAAAACGTGTTTTGCGCCATCTCATTGTTTCGTTTGAAATACTTTGCAAAAACATTTTCCAAGTAAACAGTCGAAATGCATTTAAAAGTTTAATCGTGGCAATCAGGTCGGGGTCGCCTTTTTATTGGGCACCTATACCGTCGCACCGCCGCTTCAAAACGTAGCAAAAGTAAAAATTCGAAAACGAAACCGGTACAGTTGCCAAACTACTCGTACTTACGTGCTACGTGAGAAAAAGATGCGTTGTCCGACCAAAAAAAAAAAAAAAACAAAATAAATATACATCTGAAAAATGATCAGAAAAAGGTACGAGTAGATAGAAAAGCATATTAAAAGATTAGAAATAAATGCGTTCGAGAGTCACGTTTGTGCACTTAAAATTTCCTAGAAAGTTAGAAAATCACAAAATATCTCCAAATATCAAAACAAACGAAATAAAGCAACTCAGGCACTTCTCAACTAAGAGTCGCAGGAAAACAACTGTTAATACAAAAAGCTATACATTGTTTAAGCAGTTACTCATCAGCATTCGTTGAGCTTTTGCAAAGGCAGCTACACTACCAACAAAATAATTGGCTTGCTAAACAATCAACACGTTCAATGAGTAATACTATACATACGTAAATAATGAGCCAGATTGAATGCAAGGCGCAGTTCTCAATGTTGCGTGCAACGCATTAAATTTGCTATAAATTCAAATAAAATTCATAAATGCTCAATTCGTATTTATTAGTGATAAAGCAAAGGTATTTGCAGTTGCCTTTAAAAGGAAAAGTCAGACAAAAAACGAAAGACTTCGACAACAAACGTGATGACAGAGCATACAAAAATGTACAGCCCAATGCTGTGGCTGCTGCTGCTTGGCGCACTGCTAGTCTCACAGGTAAGTTGACACGCCCAAAACGCCTCTCAAGTACTAAAATCAATATTAAGCCCAGTCCTGGTTTCATTCTTGAATATACAAGAATATAAGCAGCTTTGAATGCAATTCATTGTAAGGCTCGATGCATGATATTGGAAACTTCTTGCGAAAGTTATACCTTTTGTGTAATCGTATTGAGTTAAACAGTGTTCGGGTCTAGTTATTTAATATATAATTTTCTAAATGCAGCTGCTGTAAGAAGACTTTTCCATTATCAACTTCTTTGAGTAATTTTTACTGCTTTAAAAGCCAGCCAAGTTAAATATCTTGAATAAAATGAAATTTTCTTAGATCTCATGTGATGTTCAAATACAATTGTCACTGAAATATTATAAAAAAGAAAAACTCATAAACAAATGGAATGTATAAGCAAAAATTATAAAAAACATTATAAATAAATGGAATGTATGAAAATTGAGAACACTACTATACATATAGCATGCCAATTCCATCTTTGTTTGTTATATATCAGATCTTACAAAAGCTTGCCGCTTCTTAATATGCTGTTTCGTTGCATTACAAGAATATTTTGAGTTTGAATTGAAATGGATCCCCAACAGTCAAGTGTACTTGCAAAAGGCATTATACCCTTCCTGAGTGAGATTCTGTGTTTTTGTGTAATTTATGCGTTGCCTGCAAAAACTAATTAGACAAGTTTGTTCGCATTTCACTTTTCATTTGCATACAATAAAGTTCTGGCTGCTAGTCCAACATGAAAACGAGGTCAACTGCTGTCAAGACATTGCTCGGCCATGCTATCTGTTTGTTTCTGTGATGAGTGTACTATGGAGGTGTGTCTGTAGTATAACAATTTTCATGGCAAATAAAAGCAACATTAGCTAGAATTTTCCACGGCAATTTTCTAGGCAGACGCTTTTCTTTAATGAACTCTACAGCATCTGCAGTCGGTGCGCCAGTTTATCAATAACTTGGCTTACGTTCGTTGGAAAAGTTTCATGTACTTGTACTTATGTTTCATTTCTCTTGTGCGCAGCCCCAAAATGTGCCACTGACCGATATTTGATGTGTCTAAAGCGCATTTTAACTTTTACCAGCCATCAGCACATGCTGCCGGACTACCGGACTGCTGGACTGCCGGACTGTTGGACTGTCGGCCAGCCAGCCTGCGGGCTCTTTTTCCACACTCCGAGTATTTTACTTTTTCCCCCGCTCGAAGCAAAACAAATTTTCCATTGTTCGTGCATGTTGACTGCTCCACATAGCAATGGCTACAAAAATAAAGATTGTTTTTGGGTTTCGTTTTCGGCTTATGAAGCGTAAGTGAAATATAGCACAAAACTCTCGAGGGACGACTAAGCATTGGGTGAGAGTTGGCCCCCTCAATTGTAAAGACTTCGGAATTGGTTTAAGCTCGGCTTTGAGCTACAGGGCCTCAATTTCTTGTTATTTAGAGAAGCGATTTCAAATGGTTTCATGTGGCAAGACAAGGCTTGAAATTATATCAGTTCACATTTAAGCTTTTATTCATAATCAAATTTGTACAATTGAATAGACGCAAGTAATTATGTAGTCAACTTAAATGGATAGACACTTAATGAGCCATAATTTGCACGCCTCAGGCGACTCTCATATTGGCAAATTTACAGCAAACGTCATTGATGGATAGCACTCATTGATTGACAGTCAAAAATAACTTTCAATTTCAATTGGTATGGCTTTACAAATATTTTACATGCGCTTCGGCGAGGGTATATTGAACTATCAGCTTTGGTGTCAGCGGCCGCTTCAAATGACATCATGAAGGCAGCCCACGAGACTTCAAAAACCGTTTTGGGCTTGCCAAGCAAATATGTATATACGAGTATACTTACATATGTTCAACTACTCCGGCTAATGCAAAACTCACAAAACCTTGAAGCATAAACTCTACAAATAAACGCAGCGTGGAGGCTTTCAATTGAAGTCGGCGATCAAGCTAATGCTCTTGATGATGTTCGTAATAATGATGATGATATAAGTTTACCGTAGCCATCGCCATCGTCGCCATCATCATTGCTGTCTGCATAGCTTCGAGGCATGCATACGGCTATATGAATATGTATACACATAGTCATATAGTCTTATAGTCTGCGTGTTAAATATCTGTTAAAATTGAAATTTAACAGCGTCGGCCGCCGTCAGCGTACGGTACTTTTTGCTCTTCTTCGGCTTGGCTGTGCTTCGCATTTTCACACTCATTAAGCAACAAATGAACTTGCGTTTTCTGTTTTAGGTCTCAAGTTTTACGCTGTGCGTCTACGTGATGTGTAAAGGTTGTTAACACAAACCCAAAGTCGCCACATTTGGCCATGAACGCACAATTATTAGCCAGCTCTTTATACATATAGTATAGACCTTAACCTAACCAAGATGAGATAATAAGCCAATCAGAGTAAAATGTGGCAAATACAAAATGTATATCATATTAATAATTGAAATTTATTTTATATACAAGTATCCAAATAGGTTGTAGTTTTGTTTATCTCTCATTTAAAAGTTTATTTATTTTTGAATTCCATTGCAATACAACTCTACAACAATCAACTGTTATAATTTGTTACATTTTCCTTAATTTAATTCTATATGTTTATAAATGCAAGGAATAGCCCTATCCTAAAAAATAGTTAGTGTCAACGTTTCAACATATTGACTTGTTCGAAAGGGGATCTTAAATTAGAAGAAGGTAAAAGATAACGTCTAAACTGAGTGAAATAGTTTCCGGTACATATAAGGATGGAGGATTCTAATATTGGGGCACTGCCACAGATTTAAAAACAACAATGTCTTACTAGGAATAGGGGTCTTCTAACTGGCCACAGCATCTGCAAATGAAAAAAAGGCATCTTTCTTCACATTGAAAAGGCAACGTTAAGCACATAAACATCGCATACTTAAGAAACAGAGGCATTTCATTTTTTATATTTACAAAATACAATTACAAACAATAACTGCTGGAACATTCAATATAACCTAGCTTCTCAACCCCCATTTTAAATTGTTCGTCACATCTACTAGAAAAAATTTTGTATTATTCTGCAGCTGCTGATCTAGATTCCATATTTGTTAAGAATCTGCTTTTTCCATAAATTAAACTAAATTATGTGTAGAATTCTCGCTTCGACTTATAAAGGCACCTATTTATTGTATTCAATTTTACTTTGCTCAACTATCATAGCCCCCTCATTACTTATAGCCTTCTTTCTTGCATTAGATTCAACGTACATACTTGTAGTTAAAATTCATCGCACATTTAGCATAGACCGCCCAAAAATGCTCGACGACCGTGTTATTAATTATAATTGATGCCTTTTTGTCGGCGCTCAATGTAAATAAATATTGACTTGTACATCGCGATGCGTGCAGTTGATGTTGTTATTATTTGTGCTGGTGTAGTGGTTATAAGCCATTAAAATAATTTTCAATGTCAACTTGACACATACATAACAAAAACAGATACAGAAAGCGGTGCGGCACACACTCGAAATATGCTAATTCTGTCATTTCTGGCATTTGAACAAGCAACAAAATATATAGCGTTTGTGTTGGTATGTATGTATATGAGTATCAGCCATGTCGTCATACACTATCCAAACACCATATTAGCCAACGTTCGATACGAAAAGCAACCACAACAACAATCACAGCCACTTATGTTTCTTCTTTTTGTATATAAAGCAAAAATCGTGTGTAGATGACGAGAATTATATGCGAATATGACCGCAGCCAGATTGCGTTGGTTTTGTGGTTAAGCTGTGGGGGTTTCGTATATACTATACATAGTTATAGACAGCTATAGAGAAGAAAATGCCACATCTGAAGCTGAGCTGACAAGCACGTGCTGTACAACTGCCAACTAAAGTACTCTACAAAAATGTTGGTACATTTGATATATGCGTGGTGATACACTCTGAGAAAAAAGATCGTTAAGGGGTCTACAGACATTTTTTCACGACTCTGACGGGCGCCTTGATTTATAATTAACAAAATGACAAAATACATTAGACAGATGGTTATTTTTCGATTTTTAAAACATGTTTTTATGAAGCTTCTCAGCAGTGCAATTATATTCTTCTTAACGCTAATAAAAATTAAACAGAAACACATGTTTATTAGTAATATTTTTATTTTATGCACAATTATTGATCTAATTAAAAATCTTGTAGTTATTGAGCTTATAAATTTGTTATTAAGGAAAATTCAAATGCTTTTGAAAAATACTTCTTCATATTTAAGAGATTATAAACTATATCTTTTATTTAATTATCCGATTTTTTCAATTTTGCTTGCTTGGCTAACCCATTGGAACAGTCGTGTCTGCAGTTCCTATTGAAGCAATTTATTAAAAGCCAGCGCTGAAGTTCATTCAAATATCAACACTTTTATTTATTTTTCTCAAAACCAGATTTTGCAACAAAATTAACTAAATATCTTGCAAATTCTTATCAAGACTTTGGTTGAAAAATGTTTTCAAACTTCTCCTTCTGCTGTATAACAAAAACTCTTAAAAGTGGCCAACGTTTTTCTAAGACCAACTTTAATTTTAGCTATTCTTTAAATTTATAACAATATAAGTTCTCAAAAAGTTTCCACATGTTTACTTTTTTTCTAGCACATACTCATACCTAGAATATGAATCATTATTTGCAAAGCAGAAATTTTCTTAGAACTTACGCTGAGACAGCATCAGAGCGAGTCATAAACAAAAGACTTTATCAACGAACTTGATTGTCTTGCCTTTTCGTTTGATTGAAATTCTTTTTATAGCATGCCAAAAGTCGTTTATTTGTTTGTCTGCCTATCTGTTTGTCTGTTGGTTTATGAGCTTGCTTGTGCTAACGGTTAGTTAAGCAACCGCTATTTACAGTTGGTAAGCTTTATATTAAAACATACACATCTAAGAGAAATACCTTTGCCCAGCGGCACTTACAACCCATTTGTTGTTGACTATCTTGTTTTCTGTT